AGCAGCGAGCTCTTGAGCGTGCTCTAATTGGGTTCCAATCCCGGGCATATCCCCGAGATTCCTGTCAATCCAGGTGCCCGGCTCGGAGATGCGCCGGGCCACCAGCTCCGAGCTCTTGAGCGTGCTCTAGGGCGAGCCGGGACGCCGGCAGCACAGTTTCTGGAGGTCTGGGCAAACGGCCGTAACCTGCCAAAAGCTGCCGGGCTGGCGCGGGGCTCATTTGTGAGTCAATTGTGCAGATTCTGCATAAATGTCTGTGGCGATTATGGGATGACCCCATAATTAGATCCTTGTACAGTTGCGCGTAGGCCGTGGACTATTCTCGAACTTGGGCCGAAGGACATAAAAAAGACGCCGGGCCACGAGCTCTTGAGCGTGCTCTAGGATGAACTGGGGGCAACCTGGGGGCCCGATGCTGGCGAAAAAAGGGCAGCATTCCGTTCCCCGGGGCCCCTCTGGCGGGGGTCCGTGGGGGTTGAGGTTTCGGAGCCGCCCCATTTCCTGGACTGCTCCCAGGGCCTCGCCCTGCGCGAAGCGTCATCGGGGGGCCGGGCGTTACTGATAACCGCCCGTGGGTAGCCCTGTATCAGTCGGGCACCCCCCTCAGCTTCGCTGGGCCGCCCGCCTCGGCGCCGGACCTCGCAGTGGGTCATCGGCCCGGGCCTCGGCAGGCGTGCCCGTCGTCGTCAGTCCTGCGTCGCTTGCGGGTCGGCTTCTTGAAGCCCAGGAAGTGCTCCTCTTCGTCCACGATCCAGCCTTCGCGGCGCCGCCAGCCGGAGCCCTGCAGGGCGTCTTCTGTTTCCCCGTTGGTGAGCCAGACGGAGTAGCGCCCCTGGACCCAGCCCCGAAAGGTCGCCAGGACGTCGTAAGCCGCCGCGCGCTGGTGGCCGTCGAAGTCGTCGTAGCACCAATCGCACATATCGCCCACGAACTCCCCGAAGAAGTCCTCTGGGTGCTTTTCTGCGGCCAGGGGGCTGTCTCGCAGCAGCGTGGCCGGCATGGTTGCGGTGGGTTGCTCGCGGTCTCGCCTTCTAGCGCCCGGCCGTTTTCCGGCTGCGGTGGGCAGGAGGTTTTTTTTTTTTTCGGGGAGGAGGCCCTGGGCTGTTTTGCTTGGCAATTTTGCTAGGTATTTTTGCTTGGTATTTTGGCGGTGATTTAGCTTGGTATTTTGCTTGGTATTTTGCTTGGTATTTCGCTTGGTATTTTGCTTGGTATTTTGGCAGTGATTTAGCTTGGTATTTTGCTTGGTATTTTGCCTTTTGCTTGGTATTTTGTTTGGTATTTTGCTTAGTATTTTGGCAGTGATTTAGCGTATTTTGCTTGGTATTTTGCCTTTTGCTTGGTATTTTGTTTGGTATTTTCCTTGGCATTTTGGCGGTGATTTTGCTTGGTTTTTGCCTGGCAAGTCGGCAGCGGTGGGCTCTCAGTGCTGTGTGCTGGGGCAGGGCAGGGGGCTGCCGCTTCAGCTTCCTTCTGTGATGCAGTCTAGGCGGCGCCCCCTTCACCCCAGCCTTGCCCAGGTGCTTCGCTTCCGGACCTCTTCTTGGAGCCGCGGCGCTCAGAGTGGCAGTGCTGAAGTGCAGTTGGGTTGTCAGTCCGTGCGCAGAGGCAGAGGCTTGCTGTAGAGAGGGTCTGTAGGGTCTAGGTCTAGGTCCCTCTGTCTAGGGGCCCCCCGCCACCCAGGCTGCTCTTCTTGGACGCCCTCTCCACCCACCTCGATTCCGGTCTGGAGGCCTTTGCTGCACACACGGTGTCGATCACTCCAGGTTCTCAGGTTCCACAAGGCCTACGGAGGAAGTGTAAATTCTGTAAATTCCGTAAATTCCGTAAATTCCGTAAATTGCAGCCCTGAGGGCCCCTCCGCGAATCCTAGAGTTCTAGAGGGCACACAATTTACACAATTTACATAATTTACACTGGCACCGCGAGTTACCAGGAAGCCTTTCTGCACACACGGTGTCGATCACTCCAGATTCTCAGGTTCCACAGGGCCCACGGAGGAGGTGTAAATTGCGTAAATTCCGTCAATTCCGTAAATTCCGTAAATTGCAGCCCTGGGGCCCCCTCCGCGAATCCTAGAGTCCTAGAGGGCAATTTACACAATTTACGCAATTTACACAATTTACGCAATTTACACTGGCACCACGAGTTACCAGGAAGCCTTTCTGCACACACGGTGTCGATCACTCCAGGTTCTGACGTTCCACGGGACCAGAGCGAAAGTGAAATCCCCGGCCTGGGGCTCGGTGTGACCTGCTAGGCCAAGCCCCTGACCCCCCTAACCTATGCCCAAGTCCCGCCCAGGTGCCGCCCCTTGGTCGTGATCATCTTCGTGCCGGGCCCCTCTCAGAGTGCGCGCGCAGCCAGAGTAGGATGTGGCAGTCCGTGTGCGCGGTAGCAGGAGGAGTGCATCCTGCTGCCCAGGGCACATCGACCTTGTCCTCGTTTTGTGGCTGCCGGGGGCTCGGGTAGGAAGGTTTTTTAAAGCAGGAGTGCGGCTGGCGTTAGGTGGCGTGCGGCTGGCGTTAGGTGGCGTGCGGCTGGCGTTAGGTGGCGTTAGGTGGCGTGCGGCTGGCAGGGGGAGGGCTTGACAAGCGTAAATCTGTCAAGTTTGTCAAGTTTAAAGGGCCTGGAGCCAGGGGGGACTTGACAGGCGTCAAGTGGCGCGCGGCTGGCGTTAGGTGGCGTGCGGCTGTCGGGGGGAGGGCTTGACTCTGTCAAGTTTGTCAAATTTAAAGGGCCTGGAGCTCGGGGGGACTTGGAGCGCCCGTTTTTTGCCGCCGGTGGGAGGTGAAGTTTTCGGGAGCAGGTGGTGCGCGTGGAAATCAAGACCTCACGGAAGCTGTGCGACGGAAGATCGGAGTAGAATTGCGTTGAGGGCGAGGGCCCGTTGAACGCGTCCAACGCGTCAAATACCTGGCAAAGCGTGGTGATACCCAGGGCCGAATTTGGAGTGTGGTGGTCAGACGGAGAGTCAGGTCGGTTTCTTGTTTGTGCGCTTTTAGAGGGGGGTGTGCTGCTTGTCCAACGCGCCTAAGTGGGGTGTGGTGAGGGGGGCGCCCAATCCTGACTTTGATTAGGTAGTCACATCTTCCACATCTTCGACATCTGAGGAGGGTGTCTGCGAGTCCTGGTGATTGTTGGTTCCCGCTAGCAGGCTTTACCTTTTGGGTGATCTTCGCAGGCCTTCCTGATGATAAGTTGCTTTGCGTCACCTTTTTTTTCTTGTAATGTTCCTGGCAGGAGCCCTGGCCCCTGGCGGCGGCGTCGCTCTTTGTTGGCTTCACAGCACACAAAGCTTGAAGCAGAGGCTTGCCGGGGTGTTTGAACTTGATTGAGAGATGCTTCCCGATGCCGTTTTGCAAGGCAAGGCTTTGATAGCTGCTGTGACTCGTTCCACCTTTGACGCCATGACACGTCGCGTGTTCTTGGTGGTGCTGCTGGCTGCAGCGCTGCGTGGAGCGCGCGATCAGCTGGCTGCCTTCCTCAGCGTGCGGTTGAGGCCAACCATGCGTCTGAAGGCCAGTTTTGTGCGTAGCTTTTCGAGAGCAAGCTGTTTGACGTTGCGCGCAGTGGCGTAAGTGGCACCTTGTGCTTAGCGAGTGTCTAGCAGAAGCTGCCTGACGAAACATAGCAGTGGTGTTAGGGACCTCGTCCTAGGTTCAGCGAGGAGCAAAAGGTATCGACGACATCCGGAGCATGGTGAAGTCAGGGAGCATCTCTGCCGACGTTGCCATAAACATGACGCAGTTGCTGGCAGCCAAAGATAACGAGCTGGCGCTAAAAGACAAAGATAACGAGCTGGCGGCCAAAGATAACGAGCTGGCGCTGGCGGCGGCGGCCAAAGATAACGAGCTGGCACTGGTGGCCAAAGATATCGAGATGTTGAAGTTGCAGTTGGACACTACCGAAAAGGACGGGAGGACAGGGTTTGAGATTCGGTGTCCCTTCTTTGCGTTCTGACCCCGCAGGACCTTCTTCGCCTAGAGGACGAGAAGCTGCTGGCTCAGCATTTTGTCTTAGTGGCTTCTGGTTGCTTGAGATTGCCGACTTGCTTGAGTCAGGCTTCAAGCAGCTTCGCGGTATGCAGCCATCCTGTGCAATCGGTTCCTGGTGGAGACAGGGCTGCGGAAATTTGGGCCCAAGCTCACCCTCACCAATTCGTACGACCAGTTTTCGCGACAGTACATTTTGTCTACTTCGTCAAAGGCTCCCAGTTTGACGCCGGCCGCGGACATGAAGTTGCAGGAGTTGCAACAGGTGACGGGCACTTCGGGCACTTCGGTAGACCGGCGACATGTGACAAAAGAGTTACAAATCCTCGTGCATCAGCTATCGAGAGACCTGAGCTTGGTTGCTTTTCTCCAGGTTGCTGTAGCCGTGTTTGATCCAGCAATTGCGCCAAGCAAACTGCAGTACTGTTGCAAGGAAACCCACTATGTGCAGAATATGGAAGAGACGAGGTACCTCGTCGGTGGAAGCGAGCCAACTGCTTCAGCTACTGCCGTAGTAGTCTGCTTTCTGCAGGTGCGAGGGTGCGTCAGCTGTTCGTGTTGACGAGGGGCCACGGGACGTCGTGTGAATGTCATCGGGGTTCTACTCACGTCAGGCTCAGAAACTGCTGGAGATGAATGTCACCTTTGTGGGCGCCAACTATTCCAAGCTCGCTGTCTTGTCGGGTGGCAACGTGACATCGCCGTAAATCGACGGCGCAACGCGTTTGCGAGGCAAAATAAAGCCAGTCGGGCGTGTTGCAGATGCAGTGCAGTTGTTCTGCAGTACAGACACGTCGCGGAACAGTGCTTTGTTGACTACTTTTGGGCTGGCTGTTCGATTGCAT